TAAATATATATTTATATTGCGTTTGTTTGGTGCTTATAGAGTAGATAAAGATAAAGAAATCGAGGTGTCGCCAGCAGCGGTGGGTGTTGGTGCGGCGGGGGCTGCAGCAAGCCGTATAAGAGCTAGATAGCGGCTGTTTTTATGTATAAAATAATTTATAAATAAATAAAAATATAAATTAAATATATATTTGTGTAAATACAGAGAAAAAAACAACGCACTGAGGCAGCAGAAGAGATAGCTCGAGGGACACAGGCACCGCACCGCCGCCGCGGTGGCTTGGTGAGCTGCTGCGGTGTATACTGGGTGTGTTTGTTGTTTATAAGAGTCTATATCTCATCATTTATTCTTTATTTAGCTTTCTATCGATAAAAATATTAAATATATTACTTGTGTTGTTTATATTCTCTTCTTATAAGCTCTATATACAGCTGGCTTGTAGGTCGAGACTGAGCTCACCATACACCGCAACAGTGACCACTGGTCCCCTGTGTTTTCTTTGTATATAACCCCAATAGATATATAAACCTTTTTATCATCGTATAAAGGGTTTTAGGGTTTATATAAACTCCATCTGTCTCCTGTGTATGCACAAAAAAACACAGAACGGCCGCAGCTGGTGCTGGTGACCCTCGAGGGCGCAGAGCAAGCCAAGGTGCATCTGTATCTCTTTGTGTTGTGTGTATATTTATAATATTATATTTCTTTCTCTTATTATATATTCTATTACTTCTTCTTGTTTCTATACTTCTCTCTCTCTTTTTATACACAAACCTGACGATGACAAACCCACCGGGACCAAAGCCCTCGGAGGTGTCTCCTAAGGCCTCAAGCTCACCTGCTGCTGCTGCTGCTGCTGCTGCTGCTGCTGCTGCTGCTGTTCCTGCTGCAGCAGCTGCAGCAATAGCAGCACTAACAGCAACAGATAGTGGCTGTCTCCCCTCGTCCAATGAGCCAGCAGCAGCTCAGCTGCAGCAGCAGCAGCAGCAGCAGCAGCTGCAGCAACAAGAATGTAAGAGGAGAAGAAGCAGCAGGTTATTAAATATAAAAAAAGAAGAAGAAGCAAATGCAGATAAAAAAATAAATAAAAGTGTCTCCGTTCCACAACTGTCTCCAAACAGCAGCAGCAACTCACACAGAACAGGGGGCCCCCAGACCCTCTCGGGGGGGGCCCCCCTGTCTATACAGCAGACAGAAAAGAAAACAAAAGAGAATAATAAAGGAGAGACAGCACAAACAACAAAGGAGACAACAAAGTCAACAAAGGAGACAACAAAAACTATAAAAGAAACGGCGAGGAGACTCCAAGAGACAGAAAAAAAAACAAAGGAGACAGTAAAAACAGCTAAAGAAGTTATAAAAACCTCTACATTGATTAAAAAAACTACAAAAGAGACAAAAACAACAACAAAAAAAACAACAAAAAAAACAACCGAGGAGACAGACAAACCTACAAAGGAGACACAAAAAAGACAAACAAAGGAGACACTTCTCGGCCCCGAAGAGACAAAAAAACAAACAAAGGAGACAGCAGAGACAGAGAGAAAAACAAAGGAGACAGCAGAAATATATAAAGAGACAATAGAGGGATCAACAGAGATAAGGAGACAAAACAAAGAGACAGAAGAGACAAGGAGAGAAGATAGAGAGACAGGTTGTCTCCTCCCCCCATGTATAGAAAAGGAGACAGCACAAAGAACAGAAGGAAAAAGGTTTATAAGGCTCACACGCAGATACAAAGAATATATGACGCAGACAGCCCCGAGCGAGGATGGAGGAGACAGGAGACAGAACGGAGACACCCCACAAACTGTCTCCTCAGCTACTACAACCACACGTCGACTGTCTGCTGAAAATAAAATAAATAAAAACACAAAGACACACCCCACACAACAGCAGCAGCGGGGCCCTCTCAAAAGAGAAAGAATAACACCCCACACACGCATGTATGCATGCGAGGAGACACACACAAGTGTCTCCTCACAGCAGCAAGACACAGCCCCACACACACAAAAAAGGAGACAGTCTAGTCAACTCTCTCGACCTGCTGCTGCTGGGGCAGCAGCAGCAGCAACTGCAGCAGCAGCAGCAGCAGCAGCAGCGGGGCCCTCTGCCCCGAGATCCAGCTTCCGTGTGAACGGGACAGCAGCAGCAGCAGCAGAGAGAGAAGCAGCAGGAGCAGCAGCAGCAGCAAAAGCAAGAGCAGCTCGAGCAGCAGCAGCAGGAGCTAATACTATGTCTGTTGCTGCTGCTTCAGATGCTTCGTTTGCTGCTGTTACAGCAGCAGCAAGACAAAGACACACCCCACACGGAGACACCCCACACGGAGACACCCCACAAGGAGACACAGACACCGCAAAGGAGACATTTCTAGATGTCTGCTTCCCCAGCTTTTGTCAGCAGGCTGTTGGCTTCATGGATGGTGATGCAGCAGCAGCAGCACCAGCAGCACCAGCAGCAACAGCAGCAGCAGCAGCAGGAGCTGCGGGGACACCAGAAACAACAGCAGCAACAACGCCAACAACAACAGCAGCAGCAGAAACAGCAGCAGCAGCAGCAGCAGCAACTGTCTCCGACCCCACACAAGAAGGAGACAGCAGCAGCTTCGATGAAAAGACACAGAACGCAGTGCGCGAGTTTGTTGTTTCTGTATTGAGGCGGCAGTCTCCCCCAGATCAGCCCCAGCAGCAGCAGCAGCAGCAGCAGCAGCAGCAGCAGCAGCAGCAGCAGCAGCAGCAGCAGCAGCAGCAGCAGCAGAAGAAGCCCCAGGAGAATAGTCGGGATGTGTATCGTGCTCTGCTGCCTATGTTAGCTGCTAAAATGCTGCAATCAGCAGCAGCAGCAGCAGAAGCAGCAGCAGCAGCAGGAGGTGCTGCTGCAGCACAAACTCTCTCTCCGTTTGAATCCGATACAGAGGAGACAGACGAAGCTGAAAGCCTGGAGCAGCAGCAGCGGCGGCAGC